GGATAAGCTGGAGGAGGTGGCTGGGGAGAGGGAGGTCTGGGCCTCTTTGCTTAGGCTGCTGCCCCCGCGACCCGGCCTCGGATAAAGTGGATGAAGATGGATGGATGGATGGATGGATGGATAGAAGTTGTTTTTCTTAATCATGAAAATAATTCTGTCATCACGCCCTTTGGTTGTCTTCTGTAATGTTTCAGGCCTTTTGGTGCTGCTGAGCTGGTCAGTTTATTCTTTTTTTTAACAATGTATCAGATCATTGATTTAAGACAGTGCAACACTAGACAGAACAGGACGATACAGACACAAGACAGTGCAATGGAAATGTGCAAAATGCTGAGTATTGTGCAAAAGTAACTTGGTGTCTGTAGGTGTGTGTGTGTATGAGTGTGAGATACTGCAGATAAGTGCTTGGTAGTGACATGTATGAAGGTGTGCACGTGTGTCAGTCCAGTCAGAGTGTTCAGGAGTCTGACGGCTTGGAGTAAGAAACTGTTCTGTAGTCTGGTAGTGAGGCCCGGATGCTCCGGTACCTCTTTCCAGAAGGCAGCACGGTGAAGAGTGTGTGTGAGCGGTGTGTGGGGTCCTCCACAATGCTGGTGGCTTTGCGGATGGAGCGGGTGCTATCAGTGTCCGTGATGGAGGGAAGAGGGGAGAGACAGGTTGTTGACTCCAGTCAGTAATGATGGCCTCCCTAACTTTTATCAACATCTCTTTTGGCCTGATATTTAAAATTACAACGAAAAGCTATAAAATAAAATAACTTCAGATATTATGTCTGCTTCATTTGTCATGATACAGTTTCACCTGACCACGAAACTGCTTGTTAGGCAATTTTCCAGTCAATTTTTGACTGGAAATAGGGGATGCAATTCCAAAACAATTCATGGAAAAGTTTTGTAAAACCCTTTCAGTTAAAGTTGAAGGTTTGCAACCATTCATGTGTTGATTGTGATGGTGTATGATGACAAAACTACAAAAAGTTGCTCCAACAAGTTATGAGCCCAACTCCTTTTGTTACATTGTGCAACTGATGGTTTTTTTTAAATGGGCAGGAGTGTGAAAGGTTTTCTGTCTTGATATAGAGAAACTGAAGCATTATATAATAATAATTATAATAGTGTTTGATATAAGGGGATGTGGTAAAGCCCTGTAGTTTGAAAAGGGTCATACTACAGAAAGGTGCGTCGTCAAGGTGATGAAAATCTGCTGCCAAAACTTCTTTCACAACTCTAAACTAGATTATATTGCAACAAGTAGAGCTTATTGTCCTTTATTTATTTTTTTATTTGTTTCATTACATTTTTTAATGTGATTTTTTTTTTAATTCATTGACTACATTTAAAAAACAGTTATGAAAAACACTGCAGCCTAAATATTTAGTTAAAGACTAAGAGTAGACAAATGAAATAAAGAAACAACATGGTATAAATTTATACAATGTATATATTTGTGTCACTTTTAATTTCAAATCATCCGATGACCTGATTAATAAAAAAAGAAAATATTGTTAATAGTACATAAGATGACATCACAGACAACAATATTAACACCAGTTGACTCTTTGGTGGCTCATTTAGTATGCATTAGCTCACATTTCTTACTTAGTGCACTTGTTTAGTTAGAATTAGGCCTCCAACACTCTTTCACCACATGTGTAGAACAAGCTTTTCAATTCCTGTAAAAATACTGAAAATACCACCACTCTCTGAAATAACACCCATCCTGTCCTCCTTTCAGTCTCTGTGCTTTGCCTGCTGCCTCAGGCGGTGCTGGCACGGTGGGCTTGTGTTCGCGCCTGCCCACCATCCTGCACCTGCACGCAGGAGAAGAGCTGCAGCGTGCTCTGCGACCGCTCCGGCCTGGCTGAGCTGCCCAAAGAGTTTCCGTGTGAGGCCTCCGCCATCAACCTGGACAAAAACAGGCTCAAGTTCTTGTCAGAAAGGGCCTTTGGTACTCTGCCCTCCCTCAAGTCTCTCTCTCTGGACCACAACAACATCTCCTTCATTACCCCAGGAGCCTTTAAGGTTTGCTGAATGTTCTGCTGAAGGATTTTGTAACCAAAAATACAAACACGTAACAAACAGGTATATATATATATATATAAAAACTGCCTGAATGATCATGTGAGGAAACCCATCAACATGCAGAAATACAAAAAAAATCTACAATTTCAAGCACTACTGTATCTTTACTAGATTTACTAGAAATTCATTTTTATATTTTTAGAGTTTTCATACTTGACTAACAGCTTCTGTCACGCAGGGCCTCTCGAACTTGGTGGAGCTGAAAATGGCGCACAACGAGTACATCAGCTACCTTCACACACGAACTTTCACAGGGCTGAAGAAGCTGGTGCGCCTCGACTTGTCCGACTGTAACCTGTTCAGCATCCCTGATCGTATCTTTATAGAGCAAACGGCACTGAAGGAGCTGCTCTGTTTCCAAAACAACTTCAGGAGGATCCCGGGGGCCATCAGAGGCATGGAAAACTTGACTCACATCTATCTGGAGAGAAACAAGATAGAGGCAGTGGCCTACAACTCCCTGCTGGGCCTGGGTAGCCTCAAGTAAGCCACAGGCTCCAAGCTCATGCATGAAGTCACATAGCTACAACCAGGCATTCATTTATTGACTGAGGTTTCGCATAAACTATTAAAGCAGACCTGCTATGCTTATTTCCAGCTACAGATTTTGATTCCACAGTCACAGTTCAAAATACTGCTTATTTATCTCATGCAGGGTCTCATTGCACGCTCAGTTCATCTTCTGTTTGAACTAAGCATTCAGCAGTTCAAAGTTTGTGTATTCATCCTTAGTTCATGCACTGCTCCCATCCTGTTTTCAGAGATTTTACAGATGACATGGAAGAAAGTTATTTTGTGCAGGTGTGGTTCCTGGTGTGAGTCTGCAGTGCCTAAGGTAGCATGTGCGATTTTCTGTGCTGAAACAAAAGCATGACAAACTGAATATTGGTAGCAAAGAAAGGCTGTCTAAATCTAACACAGCCACTGATCTTCTCTTATTGTGTAAACCAGTTTATTCTTTCAAACATCTTTATCTCTCTCAGGTACCTGAACCTCCAGGAGAACCGCATCAACGTGATCCATGAGCAGGCCTTCCAGGACCTTACACGGCTGGAGAACCTTTACCTCAATGACAACTTGCTGTCTGATTTGCCCAAGCTCGCCTTCAAAGGCCTCAGCCGGCTCAAGATGCTCAACCTCGGGGGTAACCAGTTGACCAACCTGTCCAAGACCTGGTTCAGTGACCTGGTGGAGCTGGAGGTCCTGTACCTAGACAGGAACCAGCTGCTATACATCGAGGAGGGCACTTTTGAGAACCTGACCAGCCTAATCACGCTCCACCTGAACAGCAACAATCTTACCACCCTTCCCTTCCCTGTTTTCCAGCCCATCTACTTCCTGGGCCGGCTTTACCTCTTCAGAAACCCCTGGGAGTGCGACTGCTCCCTTGAGTGGCTGAAGGAGTGGATGGAAAACTACAAGCTGGTGCGGGACATCCCCTGCGCTTCACCTTCCTCTGTGGCCGGACTGGATCTCGGTGAGGTGGTCTTCGCCAAGGTGAATGGCACATGTGTGGACCCCGCCGATCTCAACCTAACTACGGCCTCCTCGGAGATCACCTCCACCACAGAGAACCGCTTCAAAAGCCTCATTTTCACACTGATCCACCCGGAGTTCGGGGATCAGATGGGAAACGGCACAGAGAGCCTCCGCAACGGGACCCTGATTGAGAGCGAGGATGGGCAGCTCTCTGCAGGGGTCACAGGTCAACGGGCCTGGCCAAGCGAATCTCTTTTTTGCTTCATTGTGATGTGGCTCAGCTTGGGTTTGATTGGCCAGTCAGATCTATTTTTCTCTCTGTACTGCACGTGAGAACAGTGGAGATGAGATCTGCTTCATGACCCACATGAGGAACATGGGAAGCTTTTTTAAAAAAATGCTCCCGAGATAAAAGATGGTTTTATTTACTCATGCGAATATAAAAGGGTTGCTATTCATGTTTGCGTGTGTTAATGCTCTGATGTAGGATTTTGGGATTGTTTTCCTGGTAAAATGCAAACAGGGGAAACTGAATATTTTCAGGTAAGAAGGACTGGATGTGGTTTACCATACTGGTTATAGATTAAAGATTTATATATACTACTTCATATGTGATCATGCTCCTCCTCGTTCATATACAAATCTGTACAGCGGCAGGATTCATCTGTGCAATTGCAGTGGCAATGAAACTCAAACTGTGTAAGCTAACATCTATTTTTTTTGTTGCATAAGTCGTCATTTTAATTATGATGTAATATTCATAGCGTTACATAGTCCGACTATTTTGTTTTTGTATTTTCGTTCACAATGTTAAAGGAGATGAGAGCTCCTGTAGTTATCTCCTAAACACACGTCCGCTCTTTTTTGTGTGTAGGCTCTGCAGCTTTTCCACAAATGCATTAATCTTCTTACCGCATGCAGCTCGGTGTCGTCGCTGCTTGTGTGTGCTATAAAGTAACACAGACGGACTTTATCTTTGCCTCTAGTGCATGGGTATAATCTCTCTCTATACAGGGACTGTGGTGAGTCATTGCCATGTATTGTGGATGGAGGGGGGGCAGTGTCAAAGCATGTTTAATGCATATGTACACACTTACACTGTTGTGCTTTGTGTGGCTGACATACCATAACACAGGCGACTGCTTTCTTTCTACCCCGGTGAGTGTGAGTAGTTTGGTCAGACAGCCTGTGGTGCAGTTCAGTTTTGTTATTAGACACAATGCTCTGTCAAAATCTATTTTTCTAAATAAAATAAATAATTAAGCTTTCAATGTGCTGGTTCAGTGACTCCTTTCAGCATCAGTCGAGGGGTTGACCCGTTTCACTTAATCCGCCCAGTGGCCTCTTTGGCTCGTTAATGTGGGATTATGCTGGGACTAAGACAAGCGAGGAGGCTGATGTCGCACCTCGTTCCTCTCGCTCTCAACATTTTCTTTTGCTCGTCCAATTCCAGGTCACAGGGGAGCAGGAGGAGTCTGTCCCAGCTGTCATGGGAACAGGAGGAGAGGCACACCCTGGACAGATCGCCAGTCTGTCGCAGGGCTGCAAAGGTTCATATCTGAACAAATTTCTAATGTGATAACAGCTATGACAGACTTGCATTAATTAATATAACATCATCTTTAGTCAGTGGAATTTCCAGGCACCTTTCCAAGAATTTATGATTACATGTTAAACCTTTCTAGGAAATGAACTGGAAACAACAGAAACTGTGATCAAGGGGAAAATCCTTCTGCTTTGAAGATTAGAAACATTATTGCATGTCTCATGGACATATCATGTAACATATGTGATGTAGTAACAGGATTGTTCAGTACAGCACACATAACAATCATAGCAAATAGAGTAGTACATTTAGAGATTAAATTTACTTCTCAACATATAACATGTTGGAATTATCTTAACAACTTTTACTGCACCATAATGCACTGAGCGTTGTTACTTACTGATGCTTTAAATATTTTACTACCTGTGGTCATATTTGTGCATGGTGGCAGGGCTATGCTTGTTTAGCTCTCTGAGGTCTAAGTCATCATAGGTGCCAACGTTCTCCTAACCCTGTATTTTGGAGAAGGGCACGTGTTTGCCAATTAGAATGATTAATTTGCTCATTTTCCGATCGCCAAGACTTAGAAAACAGTTTAATACAAACTGTAGTGACATAGGGTTGTAGATGTCACTGATGATGTCTCAGACCACAGGATTAAGTACATCTTCTAGTTCAACTGTATTATTATTCAAAATCAACAAAGCAGCCCAGGTCTCGAGGATAAACAGCAGTCATCTGGGAATTATGCACTCAGACTGTCATGTCTAAAGCTTTAACCCTCTGTTGCCATACAGCATTCAGCTTTAATCTAATCCTAAGGAAACAGAATATATATATATTTTCTTTTTATTAAACTATTCTCCAAAGTCATGGAAATCACAAACTAACTGACACAAAAAAGACAGTTTTGGCCTTCTTTAAAGTACAGTTTGTCACCCATGATGACTCAGACCTCAGCGAGTTAAAGGGAAGCCTGGTGGAGCTGCAGCCTATCAATCAAAATGCTCTATTAGGATATAATAACTGGGATTGTCAATGAAAAGTCAGGACTCTTGCAATCACATAATGACTATATACTATGTTATTGCATTACCAACAGTCTGATAGATAGTGTTAGAGACTAGCTTACCAACGAAATGAGCATTTAGCAGCTAAAGCAGCAGCTAGTTCCCTCAGGAGTTGGTGGAGCCCAAAAACACACTGACTTTGTAAAGGTGGCAATGATACACAACAAATGGAGACCTCATTTCTAATTCACCACTACAGTGTCCTGACTTGAAATCTCAGTTGTAGCACTTTCTTTTGTTTTTCTTTTAATTTCAGCTATAGCCAATTAGCTTTGTTGTATTTTGTTTTTCATAGACACAGATAGTTGCTAATCAGTGCAACTCATCAAAACTGAAAGCCAAACTCACAGGTCTGTTAGTAACCACATAACCATATAACTATATTAAAATAATCCCTCATGGTACATACGGGTATAAGATCAAGTTCAGTGACTCCAGTTAGAAAATGTGAAGCCCAATGAATAGCTATTGTTTACACTTGCACATGTGTGTCAGCTGGTAATTTAAATATGAAGGTCTATGGAGATGTCGGTGATGGCTCACTCTTAAAGTTAGCCTGAAGTGGTGAACAAAGTTTGCCATCTCTCACTCAGAGAACCAAGGTTACAGCGTAACCTTACATTGTCTATTGCATCAAGATAGGCAACCTCTCACTCAGAGAACCAAGGTTATAGCGGTATATTCTGTAAATGCTGAATATATAAGCAACAATTTGCCACAAAGTTGTATCACCTTAAATGGGAAACTTTTCCCCTAGCAATACATCCATCTAAAATATTTTCATGTGAGTTTTCTTGCATTTAATAAAATCAGATGACACTTGCCCTGCGGTGATTAAAGTGCCAAAAAAGCTACATCAAAACTTCTGCATGAAGTGAATGTTAATATTTTATTTCTCTGTGTCAGACTCAACAAATCTTCACGTTCTTCACTGTTGATCCAAGCTGGATCTCTGCCTCCACCTCAGTGATAAAAGTGTGTGAGAGGATCGTGGTCATTGTACATTTTCCTGACTCCCAGGGCTGTTCTCTATAAATCAGTGTGGGGCTTTCAGAGAAGGTGAAGAAGCCAGATTTTAAAAATCAATTATTTTTCTTCTTCTTGCTTAGGTAACACATCAACTGTGAGATATTTAACATCCATACCTGATAAAAAATGAATAAAAAAAAAAGAAAACGAACCACAGCTGTCCTGTCAACTGCTCCTTGTTTTTCTTTCCCCTGACGTTAATGCTATGGGATTATTCAACAGCAAACCACAGGTTTCAGCTCTGGAGGACTCTAATCGCTCACTTGCATTGATTGAAATCACCAAATGCAGTGTTTCAACAGAGAGGTCAGCTTAATGCACATTCACCTGAGGTATATAAGCCTCAGGAATGTATGACATGCTGGACTCCATTTATTATGCGTGACTTTAACTAAAAGTCAGGCTTTTCTTTCTGGTGGAACGATGCATGCACATACACACATAAATACATGATTAACTTCATCTTCATATGTGCCACAAGGTGAAGAGTAACAAGGTCATTTGCATCTGAAACATTTAAATTAGCCAGTTGTTTGATGATATGAAAAATATATTGGGAAATGCAATAGATAACACGTTTTTCTCTCTGCAGTGCAGCGTGAATGCATGCTGTGTGAAACAACAGAGCTTCCTGTTGCTGTTTCCTCCTCCATTCCCTACTTATGCTGCTGAATGAAGGCCAGAAGGTGGTTTTGCAGAACATTACAATGATGTGTAACCTTTTCACACTGGCCTTAACCACCAAAATCTAATGAGTTAAGAAGAGGCTTTTGGGGCCATATCCATCAAGGTATTCCTGAGTTTGCCAGTATGAAACTTGGATAGATGGACGTGTGTGTGTGTGTGTGTGTGTAATGACCCTATCTGGCCTCAATAATCCATGCCCGTTATATATTTTTTTATCCACTGTGGTCTGCCTCATCTGCCCTTGCTGCTGGTACCGCCTCTCTGCTTTATGTGTACACGTTTTCCCGGTCTGACCTCACCATAACCAGGCTGATCCAACGAATGCACACCTCCCAGCCTGCAGGAACTAAAGGATCTCCTGCTCTGAGGCGCACGTTGAGACTCTGATAGAAGAGAACGGCTCTGGCAGAACAAGGTGACCTCTATAATTAGGCAGATGATTTGAGCAAGATTTGAGCATTTTTAGTTCAAATGTAGTTGCGAAACCAGGATTAGACAAAAGTCTTAAAACTAAAAGCAGATTTGTCCATAGAGCTTTAGATACTCAGTGTTTGGGATGGGAACCACTGCACTAAACGACCTAAAATCATAGTAAATAATTGCAGCTGGCTTCACTTTGAGCTACTTCAAAACGTAGTAAATGTGAATTAAAAATCTAGTATTGCAGTAAAGTGTAGTATGAACCTTTTGATTTTATGCTGCAATAAAACTAACATGTGATCAGCCCAGAAAGCACCCGCCTGGATTCATTGGTTTGGATCGAGCTGCAGTTACTCACAGGCAGTGCTGAAGCTGGAGGGATGTGCACAAAGCATTTCTTACAGGAAACCAACTTTAATGTGGTCCTTTGGACTATTTACTGTGTAAATAAGATGGACGTATGTTCCCAGTCTGAAAATCTGCTCGTAGCTCAAAAACACACACTTGTACTAAACAGACAGGGATCTGGGAATAATGAAACAATACCGTTTTACCTCAGAAGCAGGCGGCTCTCTGAAACGATTTCTCTGTTCCCAACTCTGTTAACAAGAGTTCAAACTGCATCACTGACATCCTGAAATATGTATGAAAGCGGTCATGACACAGCTTTAGCTCCAGAATCAACCTCAAAATTCTCCCTGCTGGTGTCTTGTGGTGAGAACTGGATGAAGCTCAGTTGTCCCTGAACAAGAAAGGGCCTTCCCTTTCTTGTTCAGGGACATCAGGACCTTGATGTTGACTGATTTTTTTTTTTTCACACTGAAACATACGTTTGGATGCAAAAACTTCTTAATTTTCTGTCGTTTTTACACACTTGGTGTGTAATGGCAGTTAGCCCATCCCTTTTTTAACCTCCTAGGACCTGGCGTCCACATATGTGGACATCACATTTTGGGTTGTCTAGACCAAAACACTAAATTTTGCTCTACAAGGGCCTGATATCCACTTATGAAGACATTATACTGCCACTGTTCTAATGAAATTTAAGATGAAAGTCCTCATATGTGGATCTCATTTTTGTCATAAACAAAAACCAGGTTAAAAAAAAAAAAAAATCTGGTTAATTCTTTGTTTCCACATTCATTAAAAATGCATGCCATGGGAGAGGTCAGGCCTTAAGATACTACCTACATTTTGGACTTTTTATGTCAGCGAGTTTGGAGGTAACTAAAGTAAAAGTTCAGTAAATGTAAATATTAGCCAAGTTAGACGTAGACACTGGTCTGAGATCTCCCATAAACATCTATACAAACATGATTTTGCAACTAGCCTTGCTCAATGAAAAATGCAGGTATGAATAGGTTTTTTCCTTCAATAGATGAATTCATCAATCAAAAATTGCATATTGTATTTATCTGGGGTTATCTTTTAAAATGTATTTGATCTGAAGCATGTGAAAAAACCCAAACAAACAATGGAAAAATCATTTAAAAACTAAGGAACGGGGAAAATACTTAAAAAAAAAAGTAATATAAAGTTCATGGGCCTCCAAATATCAGCTTAGAATGACCCATTCAGAAAAAGTCATTTGTATTGTGAACTCTACAAGAGCTGCTTTCTTTGTGGACGCTGATTTGGCGCTACACAAATAAAACTGAATTGGACAGGCTGCTGGTGCTGTGAGTGCTCCGAGGTTTTTGGCAAAGAGCCACATTCCCCAATATATGAGCAGACACTAGACGAGTTATCATGGCTATCTTCCAGCCTCTAACCCAGCATAAAGCTGGCAACTGAAACTGAAGATTATTATTATTAAATTTGAATATCCATTTTTTCATTACATGTGACCTTTGATTTTCCAGCTTATCGACCATCACTTTGTGAGAAGTCCCCATCTATGAAAACAATTTCTCACCCCTTCCTTACATCTTTCTCCATCTCTGAGTGAACGTCACACATTAGTGCATTTTTGTGGGTTTTAATACTAAATGATACACGTACAGCGTGACCAGCACCACCCTGAGCAGGTCTTTGCCAGATTTTAGAAGAGATGCTTTTCATGTGACGCTGCAAAAAGAACGAAATGAAGAGACACTTCAAGTTTAATTTTCCAACACATAAAAGGAAATATATTTTAAAAAAAAACAAAAAAAAAAAAACTGTTCATACCGAAGAACCTGCATCATTGTGGAGTCATTTACACCCGAGGGGCAGTCATATTCATATACTGTATGTGGTTATTCAGCGGCACGCACGGCCTCCTCATCCTCTGAAGCCGTCAGCTCTGCACAAAGTAAAGCGTGCACTTGCTTTGCACACGGTTACAGTTTCAAGACAGATCTCATCTATCGCTGCTCTTTAAACTGGATTGAAACACACTCTTGGACATCACAGATTGGAAATGGCAAATGCTGAACTAGGTGTACGATAAATCAAAAAGAGAAAAAAAAAAATCAAAACTTTTATTAGATTTCTTCCTTTTTTTTTTTTCTTTTTTTTTTTTAAATACAAACACATCTCACTTACATGGTCGATAATTCTAGAAATTTAGAAACATCACCTGAAATGCAAGGGATGTGCATAGGTGTCAAGTCAACATCTGGCTCAGTCACTCTTGGTTTATTTTTAACATTTGTTTTCCTTTTGGTTGAGTTCACTTTTCCAAAGAGCTGGAATGTTTTCTTTTTTTTTAATTTCTTTCTGGTAATATATATATTTTGTCTTCTTTTAATTCTCGGAGGGTTTACAGAGGGACACGGGGAACACTGACTGACAGCATGGAAGCTTGCAAATGTCCACATGCATGATAACCTCATTCAAATCTCTAAAACCATTTATGGATTTATTTAGAAGAGACAGTACCCGGTAGTCCAAAGGTGCGTGTGACTGCACTAACAGCTGGAGAGGGGAAAAACAAAACAAAAAACATCTACAGATGAAAGACATTGCAGTGTGTGTGCTTTTACTGCATCTGCAGACAGTGTCCTCCAACAGCCGTGATGGGAGGGTTACTGCAGGTGCACCAACATGAGAGGACGGGACGCAGTACTGTCTCTTTAAAACAAACATCTACAAAAATGTTGCCTCCTAGCTAGTACAGACATGACAATATTCACTTTTACTCGGTTTTTATACAACACTATGAGACTAGGTCATCTGCGAGGGCAAGAGTCCGACGCTTGAATGCTGTTACGCTTTCACAGTACGCTGAGTCGGTTCCGATCGAGTGCAGTGTAGAGAGGGCTGCCCTGTCGGCTTCTGTTATTAGAGTCTTCTGTGTCGGTGTTGTAGTTATGAAGAGGGCAAGACGGCCAAGGTGTTGCTGGCGGGAAGTGGAAGAGGGGGAGAGAGCGCGAAGGCGGATGAGATGTTACGGGTCAGTACACCCAGGACACAGGGACCCACTGACTGGTGGTGCACACCAGGTCAATGGCCTCCTCCAGGTGCCTGATGGTCTCATCAATCTCGTTGTTGATGATGGTCTGGTCGAAATAGTGTGCGTAGGTCTTCTGCAGGATCTCCGACTCTTTCTGCAGCCGCTGGAGTGACTCGTCCTGAAGGAGGAGCAGGAGGAGTGAAAATGACAAAAAAGGTGAAAGCAAGACAGGACCAAAAAAAAAAAAAAAAAAAAAGAAATCCTTAGGGCCCCTACACACTGTGGGATGTAAAGTCTGTCACAGGATTTTCCACATTTTTAGGTTCTTATACCTAAAACTAACCATCTCATTTTCAGTTTCCATAATTTTATCCACAACATTTAAAGATATCAGTGAGAGGAGCCTCCACTGCAGGCTCACGATACGCTGCCACGTTAAGACCTTTTTAGAGCTCATTAATTGGAAAATGCTGAGGCTCAGTTAGGGACAGGAGCAAAAAATTCACGAGTATATTTAGTAGATTTTTACCTTCATACTCAGAACATTTCCAAAGTTCCAGTGCATTGCATTGCATCCCTCCTGAAACAAGGTTTTATGTACTGTGTTAGATTAAACTCAGAGAACCTAATGAATTGGCCATAGATGGTTTTCTGGCTTGAAAGGCTGACTAAAATATGGAACAGGAAGTTAGCACAGCAGACCAGACTGCCCGCCAGCTTTAAAGCCCAACCCTGTGTCTGCTACAGCACTGAACAGGCTCCACACTGAACTGTACGCGTTTCACCGTGTTAGACCCACAGTGATGTGACCCACAGTGATGTGACCCACAGTGATGCACTCAACCTGCAAGATGGCTGTGTCACACAGCGTGTTGGTCTACAGCCAGCAGAGGAGGAAGAAAACAGTAAAACACAGTTGGCAGAACTTATCACTAGAATCATGGAACACACACACACACACACACACACACACACACACAAGGAGAGACACTAAAGCATCTGCTCTGTCAGGTCTTACTTACTGGCAGTGTTCGACACCACCTGGGCATCTGAGCGGAGTGCCATGCAAACAAACACATGCAGCGTGCAAAACAAACAAACAAAAAGACGAGTGCAGAGACGAGTGAGGAGCAGCATGCGAACTCAAACCTGATTCAGACTTCAGCGGGAAATCTAAGTCCTAACTTACAACATAACCGGGAACCCTTTTAAGCCAGGTTACATGGAAGGTCAGGATGTAGGGTTGAGAGCGGTTTCTGGTTATGTTAAAGGAAGATGTAGATTTCCTGAAGCATAATTCAGGTATTACACACAGCTCAGACATACACAGTAACATGTCTCACAGTTGGGTGAAATCAGTGGCACACAATTTTAAAAGGTGACTTATTATGAATTTCCTTTAAAACACACACACACACACACACACACACACACAACACCACAGACACACACACACACACACACACACACACACACACACACACACACACACACCAATATGTGTCAGTGACAGAAGGCTTTCAAGAACATGGAGGAGATTCAAGGAGACAGGCAGTTAACTCCAGGAGAGCTGAACAGGGCCTTCAGCAGGACCACTATCTGCTCCTCTGTACAGGGAGGAACAGGATGAGCACTTCCAGAGCTACAACATAACCCTCAGCAGGACAATGCTCTGGCTAAACAATCAGAAACAGACTTCCTAAGGCCCTACGGTGATGATGCCCAGCCTAATGCAACAAGATGATGCAGGTAGTTCCTGGAGGATGAAGGTACTGATGCCATTGACTGGCCCCCACACTTGCCTGACCTAAATCCAATATAAACTCTGGGACATAATGTTTTGGTCCATCTGAAGCTACCAGGTTGTAACTCAGACGTTTTGGGCAATATCTATCCAGACCAGGAGCTCAGTGATGCCCTGGTCCAGGTCTGGGAGGAAAGCCCCCAGGACACCATCCATCACTCATTAGAAGCATGTGCAGCATCATCAGACATGCATACAAACATGTGTGGCAAACCACTCAGTAACATTTAGAGTTGGTGCAATGAAATTCAGCTAAATGAACTAACCTGCCGGATTATTTTTTCACCTTGACTTTCAGCCCTCCATATGGCATCTTTTAGTTATGGACACATTAGCCAGTCCCCCCGACACTGAGATTCCCATTACAAAGTGTTCCTTTTATTTTTTTCAACAGTATAAAAATATAAGACATGTATAATGATTATTTGGAAATATAAATTAAGCAAAGCTAGTCTCCGGCAGTCTAAAAATATGCAGTTTGTCTTTGAAGTTGATTTGTTATGCTCATTTCAAAGTACAGTAGAGTCAGGTATGGTTGTTTAATGAACATCAGGAGAGATGGAGAACATCACCAGCCTTGTGCTGAGTGCGTCAGTCATTTTCCTACCTCATTAATGCCTGGTGTGATGGTTGGTGCAGCGATGAACACGACGTACGGGGCAAACTCGGCCGTCCGCAGGACCTTTAAGGCCTGATGAAAACACATGTTAGGGTTCAGTGTCCTTACGTACTCCATGCATGAAGACTTGGTGCCCTCACATAAGCACGCACCTGAGGTTCAACGTCCAGTATGGCGATGAGCCCCTGCTGGTGGATCTTGCGAATGGTTTCCAGGCGCGTCCCGTACATGGCATCCTCGTGGCTGCCATACTCCAAGTACTCATTGTTGCTGATGTCCTGCATCATCTGGTCATGGGAAACGAAATAGTAGTTCTTGCCGTTCTCCTCATCCTTCTTTGGAGGTCTGGTTGTGTCTGTGAGCACACAGGATCAGACACAGGAAGTGAGAGAATTACACCTCCCTACATGCACAGCAGCGCTCGTAAAGACTGTCGATTGTGCGTCTTACGTGGGATGGGGTAGGCGAATCTGTCAGGGAGTTTGGTTATAAGTGTGTTCTTAATATGTCTCCTGCCCACTCCATGAGCGCCTGACAAAGACAAACACAGACGGTCAGCGAGGCCACGGCAGATGTTCTAGTGTCCTGCTGCTGCACTTGGTGTTACTCACCTAACAAAACTAGCGTTTTCCTCTTGAAGGCAGGAAGCTTCACAACCTCCTCATATGTGACAAGGTCTAGTTGGTCAAACACTGGAGACGAGAGACGCCAGAGACAGATGCAGATTAGGAGGATGTGCAGAGAACTGTGTGGGATAAAAACAGCTAGAAAACTAGAGTGTAAGGGAAGCAAGGAGGCTAGAGAATATCTAACACATCCGCTAACTACGAGGTGAAGAGAAACCAAAGCAGATTAAAAATCTCAGTGAAAAAAAGGCCTGATGAGGAAACAGTGGGTGGGAATAACTAGAGTTGGGTTCAGAGAGACAGATCCACTGCCCAGCTCGAATAATAATTGTTAAGCTGAAATGCAAATGAATCTCTAAAAGAACCTTTGATCTCTCCATGGTGGTTTTTTAAATGCAGGCCAGCTTCTCATTTATTCTGCTGCTCATTCAGTCAGCAGCTACACAGGAAAACTGGGATATTTCAAAAAACCTGTTCAACCTGAACCGGAGCTTTCAGTTCTACTTTTTACTCGCTGTTGGTGGAGGTTTAAAGGACACCTGTTATGCTTACTTTCAGATAGAAAGTAGACTAAATAGAGGAAATTGCAGAATGTCTGGGCTGCAGAGCGTATCGCGTGTTAAAGCTGAGCGGCTCACTGTGCTACGTGCTCTCTGCCTCTGAAACATGAGCCTCTGTGCAGCCAACATCTCAGCCTGCTGACAAGTGAAATATAACACCCACAAGTCAGCAGCTGCTGCTCAGACCGACAGACTGATGGTGACTGTGACAGCGACATTATATTGGACTGAAAAGGTTATTAAAAGACTGGTTACATTAGTGGACCCGTAGATGAACACACTACACCAAACGTGAATGAGAAGACAGGTTAGGGTCACCATCACAGCACGCAGTGTCTAAAAACACACAGAGTAAGCTACACGGTTTCAGTTTTGCCTCAGCCTTCTGTTGTTTTTGTCAACAGAAACAAAAGTGAAACGCTGGCAGTGACAGCTGATCTAATCTACACAGTTAATCAGAGAAGAAGAAGAGAGCGAGAGAAAAGAGGAGGAGTTGGTTGCTGTCACTGGTTGTTACTTACATGCAGAGAGGCCGTTCAGTAGGAGAAAGCGAGAGAGATGAACAGCAGGGGTCATAACATGGTTACAACAGCAGAATTACAGAACGCAAAACAGCAAGATACAACATCTGGGCAGCTGTGCAGCAGCACACAGTGCCGAGCGGAGATGGATGCAGACAGAATACTGTTGTTGTTGCTGTTAGAGAGTTTATTCACACTAACTGGTGACGTGTGGGTTGGGGGTGGTTGGTGGTGATGGTCACCAACAACCACAAGCAGCGCAGCAGAGCCCGGCTGCATCCAACTATGGAGGCATCCTGCATCTGCATCCAGCTGTCCGAGGGGTAGCAGTGGGTACTTCCCAGGAATCTGTCACCCTGTTTTCCAGCTATAAATGATGATTGATTTATATAAAATAATAATAAAGCAGTCACACAGAATTGTGAAATCGGGTGTTTTCCAGGACCTGCAGTGATTACCATATCTAGATGTTTAAAAATGTGTTGCTGATGATAACGTGATTGCTACTAGTTCCAGGAATTCAGGAGTTGCTCATTATTTCAGGATATATGAATTTATAAGGGACAGTTACGAACGCTTCTCCGCATTTCAGTGTGTCTTTGGATGTTGGCAGTGAAGCTAATGTTTTGTGCACCTGTTGCTCTGCCTGTGAAACGTTGGCCTGACTGTTTGATTGGGGATACAGTGTCAGGTTAATTCTCGCTCAACCATCAACAGTCTGATGTTTCTGTTTGATTGTCAAAGCTGTGCCATTGCAGTTTCTACCTCTGCATGTCCATCTCATTGAGATACACAGCACAGGACTAACAACAAGGAATATCTTCTGCTAACATTTATGTTAACTTAATGTAATAGTTGAATGTGGGCCTTCTACTCTACTGTCTGTGAAAATGATTCTAGATTAGGCAGTGAGGCTGATTGATGGAGTGTAAATGGTGAGGGAGGGAGAAATATGTAAGAAACTAAGCTTCATGGTGCCATCACGCATAGTTTTATTTTTCTTAAAATTCAACCTATTTGAGGGACGTGGCGTTTTTTCAGCTTCTGATATGGAGCATAGCAGGAAAAAGTTTGTGATCCAAAGGACTAAACTAGCAGAGCTTGAAGTCAGTCCATGCGGGCCGTCTTTGTAAATGTGATGAAGTGATTGTCATGAGAATAGCTCCCTCACAAGGAAAACAATTCCTGGGAAATAACCGGAAACGCATCTGACTGACACTTTAGTCTCATGGTCTCTAACATGAAACAGAGCGAAGCTCATCCCTGATCCCAAGAGATCAGCTGATCTAACTGGTTAATTATTTTGGATACACCATTTAGGCTGCTTTGGCTTGCCTACTATTACTGCAACCCCCCACCCCCACCTACCCCCCCAAGCTTTTATTGTCATGCTGTATGTGATTTATGCAACATATCTATGGTGTGTTGTTTGCAGGGGGTTTTGCTGCTGCTTGCTTTATGCATGTGTATGTAAGGTGGGGCAGTCCACCAAAAACAAATGACAGAGGATGAAAATAATAATTGTTTTTGACTGTAGTGGTTCTGACCAAACTGTTACACACTGTTGAACCTGTTATCAGTAAAATGTTGGATGGAGTTACAGCGGACTCGCTGTTTTGATTATTTTGAATTAATCACTAAATGATGGCATGCAGATAACTGTGGGTCCCATGCATTCACTAGTGTGTTACATGCTTTGGACTGTTCAGACAATTTCTTTCACAGGACGGCTTCACAAGTCCATGTGCCTGTAAGGACCTTGGACGGTTTTTGTTCATACTGTCCATTCAAAGAAAACATCCAAACATTCCATTTGAATGGGAGCGAATGGGAACAAAGTCCTCATTTTGTGCACAGAAATGCCTGAAAAACAGATCTTTACTCTGTTAATTTGCAGCTTCAGGTCAACTTTAGAACACATTTCTTTCACAAAATGACTTTAGTCCCCATTACTGCCTAAAAGCAAGCAAGGTAGGATCTTTTCAATGCCAACTTTGAAGCAAAGGAATGACAACAGCACAAGAAGAGCCCTGATTGGCACTGACAGAAAATACTGTGTCTCCGTCCTTCATATGAGCAGTGATGCATTGGTCACTCCGGGTGTTCGAGTGCACGGATTTATAGACATGCTCACAAGAGTGGATTTTCAGATGCACACACACACACACCCTATAGCACCCTCGGTTACATTATCAGCATGACTTATCTTATCCCATAATCCTTTGAGACAAACTGTTTGCACAGATGTGACATACAATAAAGAATGAATTAGCAGTACATTTTCCTCATTACTCAGTACACTACTACTCGACTCTCTCTGGGCTCAGTCTGTGGTTCATAGAAAACCAGAGGAGCAGTACACAAATCATAAGCATGCAGCTTCTTTAGACTTCTGTTCAGCTCAACATGGACATGTAGACACTGACTGGTTCTCAATATAGACTACCAAGTTCCCACATGTAATCAAACACAGCTGAGGCTACATGCACGTGTTTGTACGGGGGGATGTGAAGTTCTAGTTACCTGAGCTACAAACTTGAGATGAGAAGTGACAGAGAAGGCCACAGTGCACCATACTGTAAACGCCCCCCTTGTTTCACCCTAATAACTTATGTAACTACTTCATAGCCACGATATTAAAATCACTTAATATATTTTTTAAACGGATCATTCTGAAATCAAAGGACAAGAATAAACAATTCCACTGTGTAGCAAACAGATCCTGTTCACCTCTAACAACCTGATCATGACTGATCACATGATTAGAACAAATATGACTTATTATTTTTAATTAAAATTGGATTTATTCTCATCTTTTACTGTGCAAATGCTTTTTGATGTTTCTTTTTTGCTGCTTGTTGACGTCACACACTAAAGCTACGTAAAGGCAAGTTTAGCCACTCAGTGTCATAAAAGAGCCATCTTTCATGCTACAGAAGTCCTGATTGTAGTGGTCGTTGACATTATTTCTTTCTTCAGGACAGAGGATTGTGTCCTGTGGTTGGACTCATTCCAGCTCCATCATCTCGGACTGCAGCTGGTGACTGTAGTCCTTCTGCTGTGAGCTGGGGATCACGCTAACCAGAGCCTGCAGTGTGTGAAGAACTGATTCATGTGCTGCTACACTGTGTATTCTGTTCGACACAGCAAAGCAGAATAAGGACTACTTTTCCCAGCAGGATGGCAGCCACACTGAAGAGACAGCTTATGACTCAGTTAATTTGTGGTTGGTAAATAATATATTTGCAGAGCAGAAAATGATACTGCAATCATTAAAAGGCTGGAAATGCCGTCTAAACTGATATTATTTCCCCCGCTAATAATGCTCTTTCAGGACCTCTTTATTACATGCGTACTAAAGATGCCCATGCACATCCTCTAATGCCATTTAAAAATATGGCTAATAATGCAGAGATCTGCTAGAGTCTGTATCCACAAGCTGCCCACATCTCCCTCAACTGCCTCTGTGCTCATATAAGATTTCTGCTGCTCTGGCAGCTTTTCCTGTCATTCCTGGCTCTGCTACTTGAGATGAATATTACAAGATCTTGTTACATACAAGTTTCCCCGGCACAAACAATCTGAGAGAAAAGTGTGTGCACACACAGGGTGGAAAAAAAAAGCAGATGCATGCATGCAAACAGTCTGCAGCTTGTTGCTTTGTGTGCACATGCATATAAATGAATACAGATATGCGAGTGATTGTACATTGCGTACCTGCGTTGTGCTTTGCCAAATACTTGTCTTTGTACTGCTTCTTCTTCTTGCCAAACCAGGTACAGCTGGCCTGCTGCTCCTGCTTCGTCTTCTCCATGGCTATACACGCCACCCGCCTACCACACAGACAGACAACTGAACTTAGTTTACAATTAAAGCTGGACAGAAGCATTCTAGCTGTAAAGAGACAATAAAGCCATGTTGCCATCAGAATAATCAGGGGCTCTTCCCAGCATTTTACCAACTGCTATTTGAAAACACACAACTCCAACTTGTTTTTTTAATTCCTTGTGTTTTGATGCAACACAAAGTTGGGGGGAAAAGAGTCTCTGACGGAACTGGTACAGAACTAGAACAAAGTGCAGATAATACAACTAAGCAGAGACGGGCAGCGGAAATCTGAAATCTGGAGTAAAAACAGATCGGGCTGGAGGAACTGGTAATTACTTTTTATATTGTGAAATATTGGTTTATAGACTGCATTTTTAAGATGTCTGCATTTTTTTCCTAATAGCTTAGTGAAAACTTTCTCAAAGCGTAGATGATCACTGTAGCTAGTTACAAGTTATTTTCAATACACCACTTTGTAGAGTATGATCCCGTTTAGAGTGCACAATAAAGCAGGGAGAAGTGGACTTCCGAAAGAGTTCAAAAACAGTAATTCACAAACCAGGGTGACATCTCCACCTTTACAGTTACTGTATTGGTCCTGGATTTTTTTTTTTTGTTTAATTTTTAGTGGAAACTTTTATCTTCCTGCCATCATGCTATCAGAGACTGCGTTGCTCTTCTCACCACTCCTGTAGTTCTGGTGACGGGATGAGGCCGGCTGTGCCATTTTTAGTGTTCTCCAGCTTGCCCTGCCACCAATTGTGATCATCCTTGGATATGATCTGGATGATGTCGCCCACACGGAAGCGAATGCCGGCCTCCTTGCAGGGGATGAGCTCATCCTTGGAGGGGTCATATTCAAACTGGGCCCTCACGTAGATCTGTGGCGAAAAGCACAGATGTTAGACGGGTAGTATGTAAGCTGAATGACCG